GCACACAATAAAGCCCCCCCCCCCCCCCAAGCTGCTTTAAAAGGTCTCCTCCCCCCAGGCAAGGAAAGGGGGAAGGAAGAGAGCGAAGGATAGGAAGTGACGTGTGGGTGTCAGTTGAGGACTGATGGGCAGGTACCAAAGGAACGGCGCTGGCAGGGATTATTTGGGAAAAGCTGCCAGATTAAGAATGGTAGTAACCCTGTTACCACTGCCTTAGGGTCCCTGGGCCGGAACCCGGAGCAGTGGGCAGGGCCAGGCCCCCCCCCACGACATGGGGCGGGAGACCAGGTCTCCAGAGGGGCGCGTACCCCAAGCTCATGACCCAGCCTGGGAGGAGCATGGCCCTGTGGGCGGTGGGGCCGGCCCCCGGTAACGAGACAGAGGCCGGGGGGAGGGCTGCAGCGAGCTGGGGAGGTGAACACCACCCGCCAGTGCACAAGACCCCCCCTCCCCATGGCTGCTGCATTGTGGATACACACCCGTGGGGCTCTCCCGGCCGATGAGCCGTGCTTACCAGGCGGGGGAGGGGAGCAAGCAGGGCCTGGACTTGGCTCCTCCCCCAGAGAGATTTAGGGGGCAGTGAACGGACCTACCCTGGCACCCCTCCGCCCCCCAGCCTGGCAGAGACGTTGGGGGGGGCCTGTGTGATACCCATCCCACTATCTGTGGGTATCAGGCTCCTAGGACAGGAAGGGATCCCGAGAGGTCATTAAGTCCAGTCCCCTGCCCCCACAGCAGGGCCAAGCCCCCAACTTGCTCTTCAATATCTCCAGGGATGGGGATTCACACGCTCCCTCCGCAAGGGATTCCAGCGTTTGACCACCTGGACAGGTAGGACGTTTTTCCTAATGTCCGGCCTCAACCTCCCTTCATAGAATAGAATCCTAGAACCCCAGGGGGGCAGAGCCCTCAGGAGTCATCGAGTCCAGCCCCCTGCCCCCACAGCAGGGCCAAGCCCCCAACTTGCTCTTCAATATCTCCAGGGATGGGGATTCACACGCTCCCTCCGCAATGGATTCCAGCGTTTGACCACCTGGACAGGTAGGACGTTTTTCCTAATGTCCGGCCTCAACCTCCCTTCATAGAATAGAATCCTAGAACCCCAGGGGGGCAGAGCCCTCAGGAGTCATCGAGTCCAGCCCCCTGCCCAAGGCAGGACCCACCCGACTCAGTCAGCCCAGCCAGGGCTGTGTCCAGCAGGGACTGAGGAACCTCTAGGGATGGAGACTCCAGGGGTCAAATTAGCGGTCAGCTCAGGAAAGGGACGTAGCCTCTCTGTAGGCAGCCCAGGGAGGCCCTCAGCTGGATGCACACGCACAGAAGGGGGTAGGAAGGACAGAAAAGGTTGCAAGGCTGTTCTGAAAATGACACCAGCAGCCTTGTCTGCTTCCAGCTCAGTATTCTACAGGTCACGTCACAAGGTGGGTTCCTTGTAGGAGGCTGCTGTAGGCACCAGGGCAGACAAGGGGCAAACGTCTCTGCTGTGTGCAGAAAGAATGCCTGGGCTTTCCCGGCGGGGCCCTTCTGTCTCATCTTCGCAGTTCGGAGAAGTAGGTAACTTGCCGACACAAACAGAATAGCACCCATCGGGTGAAAAGGGAAACTAAAACTCTCAGGGAAAAATCTAGGGCGAGTGGGGAGAAGGAATATAGCAAGGGGAACAAAGGACACCCTACCAATGCTACAGGTCTAATGCTAGGCAAGGCAGGGAAAATCACAATGCAGAAAAGGCAGGCAGGCAGTCCAGTGTCTGGAAAGAAACAAGGGGGTGATCTCATGTCACACAATGATAATGAAATATTTTCTGCTCCATCTGTGAGTACGGAGTCCTCTGGCAAGGAGTTCCACAGGTTGACAACACGCTGTGTGAAGAAGAACTTTCTTTTATTAGTTTTAAACCTGCTACCCATTAATTTCATTTGGTGAAATTAATTTTCTTGGTAGATTGTACCCCCAGAGAAAACACCAACATTTCAATATTTGTTTCTGTCCCGAGTCGGCAAACAGAAAAGTTTTCCGTTAAAAGCATTTTCGGAAAAGTGCGTCTAGATTGGCAGGATGCTTTTCCGCAAAAAAACCCCAATCGCCATTTTCTAGACTTTTAATCATTATTGCAACTCTTCTCTGGACTTTCTCCAATTTCTCCACATCTATCTTGACTATATGGGTTCTAGCTACCCGAGCTGGTTAGGAAACAGGATTTTAGCCTTCGGAACACTTCGAATTAAAAAAAAAATGATTCCAAATTGAGGGGTAAACTGCCACGACCTTGAAGTATTTCTGCCCAGTGAAACGCTGGCAGAAAACTTTCATTTCAGATCAAACTGTTTTGTGCCAAATGCCACGTTTCCGTCCTGCGCTCCGACGCGACGGGGGAAAAGTCCTAACTCCTGGGCCTGAGAATGGCCGCACGGGAGCGGTTTGCCGTTTTCCAAAGGTTTTCTCTCCCGTACGAGCCAAGACGGCTTCAAAGCATCGTTGGACACCCTCTCAGCGAATTCTCCATCCACTGGCAAATTTTAAAGTGAGATTTTTCCCCCCTCTCCACGTTCTGCTGGTGCTCAAGCGAGAACAAATTCAGGGACGGTCTACGGGACGATGGGGCCCAGTAGAAGGTCAGAGGAGAACATCACCAATTTAGAAGACCCCCATCCATGAATCCTCAGCACTAAAGCCTCCCTCCTGGCAGAGGCCAAGCCGGTACAAGTCAGAGGAGCGTTCGGGCTGCTCGATTTTACATCCAGCTGCCTACGACGTCAAAGGCTGGATCCAGCCACTGGGAATGGTTGGGGAGCAGAGTCAACTTTGCCATGTCCCTAATGCCAGCAGCCAGGGAGGTGGGGACGCAGAGGCAGCTCTATGCCTCCTGAGGATGTCACTCACTAGCAGAACCCCTTTGCTACTTGGCTATGCCAGCGGGGTGATGACTTTACCCCTCCCAGCTGCTGGGTGGGCGCAATTCCCAGCTCAGCTGAGTATCTGGGCTAGCACCTAAAAACAGCCATGTGGCCACGTCAGCTCAGGCTAATTGCCCGAGTACCATCAGAGAGTCTTAGACCTGGCAGGGACCTCGAGAGGGCATCAAGTCCCGTCTCCTGCGCTCGCGGCAGGACCAAGCCCTGTCTAGATCAGTGGGTCTCACAGCGTGGTCCGTGGGCCTGGGGCTCGCCTCCCCCCTGCAGTGCGGGTTAAGGGGTCAGCTCCAACACCCCCCGTTTTCACCCACTGAGAATCCAGCCCCAAGAACTGTTGCATTTCTATTTGGTTAAGCAGAAGGACAGCTCTTGTTTGTCATTCGGGTTCTTCACCAGAGACCTCTTCAATCTTGTACCATAAGCCTAGAACCCTAGAACGGGAAGGGACCTCGAGAGGTCATCAAGTCCCGTCTCCTGCCCTCACAGCAGGGCCAATCCTAGAACCCCAAGGCCAACAGAGACCTAGAAGGTCATTGAGTCCAGCCCCCTACCCCATGCAGGGCCAATCCTAGAACCCCAAGGCCAACAGAGACCTAGAAGGTCATTGAATCCAGCCCCCTACCCCATGCAGGGCCAATCCTAGAACCCCAAGGCCAACAGAGACCTAGAAGGTCATTGAATCCAGCCCCCTACCCCATGCAGGGCCAATCCTAGAACCCCAAGGCCAACAGAGACCTAGAAGGTCATTGAATCCAGCCCCCTACTCCATACAGGCCAATCCTAGAACCCCAAGGCCGACAGAGACCTAGAAGGTCATTGAGTCCAGCCCCCTACCCCATGTAGGGCCAATCCTAGAACCACAAGGCCAACAGAGACCTAGAAGGTCATCGAGTCCAGCTCCCTACCCCATGCAGGGCCAATCCTAGAACCACAAGGCCAACAGAGACCTAGAAGGTCATCGCGTCCAGCCCCCTGCCCCACACAGGACCAGTCCCAACGAAAGCATCCTTATAACGACACGGAGACATCAGCTGACTTGTCTGCAGTTTATTGAAATTGGGCACGTCCCAAGACATTGGGGCGTCCCCTGAGCAGGAAAGATAGGTAACCGGTGACAGTACAGTATATTCTACATTACAGAATACTTTGCAGCAAACTGTTTGCTCCATTAACTTTACAATCAAGGCACCACCGCATCGGATAACAACAAGAGGAGGACAAGTGGAATTGGTCCCCAGTGAACGTTGGCTGGAGTCGGTTTTTGGAGACCCAAAATCACAAACCCACCTAATCATTCATTAAGGGGAATCCCAGCACGTCTCGACACACACACAAAACATTTTGCAACTCAAGAGTCGGGTAGATTATCTTTCCCCCCGCCCCATTGAATGCAACTCACACCTACTTGTAAAGCAAGCAAACAGGGGCTCCAAGGCACAGTTATTACAATAGCACCCAAGAAAACACAGGCATTTCAGAAGCGCTAAGAAAAGCGAAGGAAAGGTGAGTTTTATACACATTGCGTCACAGCCACACCAGCCCCCAATACACAACACACCCGGCGGGGCAGCGCTCGCCCGCCTCTAAATCACTCGTTGGTTACCGATTTCCTCTAGCGATACGTTTCCGTACAGGGTCTTATAGCGCATGGTCGATGGGCATGTTTTCATGGACACGGATGGGTTTAAACCCAGCCGATGTTGCTACCGGGATGGTGCGTCGCCAGCGCCCGAGAAGGCGCTGGAGGGGGTCGAGTGGTACATTGAGGGCGTGGGCTGTAAGGGACACAGTTCATTCATTTCTGGATACCAGAGTTGGGTTAAGGTGGGTTGTGCTGCTGCCTTCGGAAGATAAAAAGAGGCCTCGTTCTTCCCGGGGACTGGCGTCCGTGCTTAGTACCCACCCGACTTGGTGGAAAAGGACGTGGTGGTGCTTTTCCGTATGATCGTGCCTTTTCCTTTTCCAGGGGCGTGGGCTGTAAGGGACACAGTTCATTCATTTCTGGATACCAGAGTTGGGTTAAGGTGGGTTGTGCTGCTGCCTTCGGAAGATAAAAAGAGGCCTCGTTCTTCCCGGGGACTGGCGTCCGTGCTTAGTACCCACCCGACTTGGTGGAAAAGGACGTGGTGGTGCTTTTCCGTATGATCGTGCCTTTTCCTTTTCCAGAAGAGAAG